TTCCTCTTTGATTATATTACACACTTACAATAGAGGTGGATAAGGAATGACATAATCACATCGGAAATCCTACAAAAGTGATGAGAGAAAAAGAAACATACGTGTTTTATTCGATAATTTCTTGAAAAATACTGTGAAGAGAATGGATTGTAGATCTCTTTAAAACACATTTAATCTTTACGCAATTCTCTGATAACTATGAAAAACTTCTATTGCAAAGTGCACTATAATTGAGAAAATATAATCCCTTATTTACGCAATTAAGTTATTTATTGCAGATATGTTACTTTGTCCATTTATTGTTTATACCGCATTCATTTGTACTATCATGAGATTTTGTTTTTTTAGGAGATAAATATTGGATAATTGCAGAATGTTCTGATGATACTCAAATATTTTAGAAACACTACTTGATTATTAACAACTTTGAAGAACATTCATTTTTATCCGGACTGAGAGGTCTCAATGGATAAGCGCAACAAATTACTGTGCAGTTTTACTGTTCACTGAATGACACAAACGAATGCTTTACGTCTGCAGGCTTAGTAAATTACTTGGTGCTTACCATAATTTTCTATTCGTTTATTATTTATAATTAATTCGAATCATAGCCAAAAATTCGTTCTGAGACCATTGAATGCATATCGTTGCAATTATTTCAAAGCGTTGGAAATAAGTCTGAAAAGAGCCAATAGTAAGAAATGAAAAACGAAGGCATTGATATGTTCTCAGTTCACTATCCGATAACGGATACAACATCCGATAGAACAGGATCAACAGGTCGTAATAGTTTAATCTTCGTGTAAATTAGCAGTGTGCATTTAAATAACATACTTTTTTTCGTATTAAATGATGGTGCCATTATTGAAGAAATGTAATTAATTTGCCAAAGTCAACTAATTAGTTCTTTGAATGAACCCTTCCAGAATTCGTGTTTGATAGCTCCTGTTCTGATAACTATGTTTTCAATTTCATTGACCATTTCTTGACACAAATTTTATTTATAATTTTGTTGAAACTGCATCCCAAATTAAGGGAATAAAGTGTACACTCCCTCCACAATTGAAGTGAAAAACCAAGAGTGGGAGACATTTGTCATGAACCCGTAGATCGGACGTTCAAGAGATTGCACCAGCTGAGTTGACTCAGGGCACTGCATTGCCTCAGGGCGGGGAGGGGGGAGTCCTAGGTGGCAGGATTTTCGACACTAGTTACATAGCCAGAACGATTTGATCTGATGTCTTGAGGAGAAATCCTGTGTCCATCTGCCTAATCGGTAGTTTTTCGTGTTTTTTCGATCACTACCAGGAGAATGCGGGAGTTGTACCCTAACGTCCATGGACTGTGCGTGGTCTTTCTTTCCTCTTCCTTGTTCCTATCTTTTCTCCTTACTTACACACACTTACCCTAACATGCAGGCAGTGCATTACACATGTCGGGAGACCAGTCGGAAGATTAAAGGTTCTCCCGGCTGGAGCGGTGCCCAGCTGGTGGGAGATACCTGGTTGGGGGAAATCCCTGCAAGCCGACGTATAATCTGGCGTCGGATATCATCAACTAGCGGGGGAAGATCACTGCCACTTCCCACGATAAAACATGCAATACACTTACGGGATTAATGATATTAGAAATTGACGCGCCCGGATACACTAATCAATTATGAATTTGATGATGTACGATTTTGGGGACCTTGAATGGCTGGGTAGGAAGGGTTAGGTCAGCGACATCCCGAAACTCTTCTTTCTCAAGATACTTCACTGAATTCACTCTCAGAGCTGGCACCTTTATTTTTTTGTTCTTGAATGATTCCAAAATATTTAATTTTTTTTGAAAGGATTATCGAAATAATTCGCCTTCAATATCAACACCCTTATTTTTTAACACTGAATAATTCTGAGAGTTTGCTTACTTCTTTTACTTCCTTTTTTAAAAGGAAGAAACAAAGAAATAGGTGGATTTCAGCATTGCACTCCTGCCAGTTTTCAGTTGCGAAATTTATTTAAACCAACATTCGAATTAAGAGCTTTGCTATTGTCTACCTAACAGATGGAATTCCGTACTTTAAGATTCAGTGTCGATTTCACTGATATTAAATCATTCAGAATCATTGCGTACTTTCCCTACTTGCATACGGGGATTTGGAAAAGAACAACTAAGTTCACCCATTCATTTGGAAAAGAAAAATTGCATCGCAACCATCCAGTTTTGACGAGTAAGTTTCTTTAATTCAAAACAGTATTCTAAATTATTTTTGTAGGGATCTTGAAGGTGATATTTCCATGAAACCAACCCCCTTAGTAACAAATTTTATATTGCAATACTTAATGAGTATGAAAGGTCAACTGCTTCACGTACTTTAATCATGAAACATGCAAATGCATTCCAGTTTTGGAATTCATTGCTATCTGCAGATTTGTTAAAAAAGTGAAGCTTCAATGAGTCAAAGCTTTGTCTTGACCTTGAGGGAAGGATCTCACTCTTCGAGGTGCAACATTCCCAACTTACCAATTCGGGATAAATCGTGTTTCTTGGTGATGACATGATCATTCAGTGGATATTGAAGATTCTTACTTGATTTTCCTGATTCTTTAAGGGAAGTTGTCTATGAATATGTGCATTTCAATTAAGGAATTACGTTAATTTCTCCCAAGCCCTTTTCTCCCAGTGAAAATCAGGGTTTCAAAAGGCAGAGATTTACCCGAGACCTGGAGTATCGCTTGTTTCCCTGATAACGCCCCTCCCCACTGTCCACCTCCCCACCATTGGTGACAAATTTTATTTAGTGAATCTTTATGACTGATTCTGACATCTCAACGGCATCTGTTGTTCAAAACAATGAAGGTCCGAGCGAAGCCTTCTGTTATGATGATTCTGTGGACCCACCCCATTTGTGACATTTTATCTTGTGAATCCGAATGGTTGACTCTGACATTTCACCTGCATCTGTTGCAGTAATTAAATTGCAAATGACAGGATTCATTTCAGCGATGGAATTACAGAGACTATTCCACTTGTGAAATTAAAACCTATAGTGTTTAACTGCACATATAAAAAGCACAAATCAGGGCGGTGTATCTTTAAAAATAGAGCTTTTTCTATCCAATTTTTCTTAATGCTTCTCACTTCATAAGCTTTGTCTCGTCTATCTTAGGAGACGGTATATAGCGATAGCTGGGTTAGCGTGCTATAATAAAACACGTATGTGCTATAACATAACTTGCTTACTCTGATTTAACATGCTTCACAGTTATTTTCAATATTTGGCCCATTTTGGAACATTGTCATTCGTGGAATAAATACCATTCCTGTTTTAGAAATTCACAGAAAAATCTCTCCCTAGCTTCGTGGGTCGGGGATTTATCGACAATTTCAAAATCACTCGAAGTAATACCTAAGACTTTCCTCTTGAAGTTTATTTCCACGAATCTGCGGAACTCCAAATGCCACGGCTCCGCGCGGGGCCTTGAGGAAGGTGTTATCTGGAGAGCAGGAAGGGGCGGGTGGGTTGCCAAGCCTCTCCGGCCGTGTGGCGAGTAGTGATGCGACATCGATTTAGCAAACATCGATGTTCAAATTTAAAACATCGTTATTAAAAAACAATCGCCTAAAAACCATCGATGTTTTTCAACATCCATGTTTTTAGACTGGATTAGTAACCTCTAACATTAAATTCGTGTGCATTAAAATTTAATTTGACAGTGTTCGTGTTTATCAATTCGCCAGATAAGGGTACGAGAAGGGGCAGACCCTACGCCCATCGCGTATTTGTTGACATCTCAATATGCGAAATGAATGAAGAAAGAGGAATTACAACGGCATGGAGGTAATCTCGAGCAAGAGAGTTTGGTCGACGAAGGTACACAGGCAAACAGCATTCCTTTGGTTCCAACACATGAATAACAGTGTTACTGTCAGTTATTATTTCATATGTTATTGTGTTTTGTTAGTTATAATATGGTGATGTAATTTTGTTCTACTACTTTCAGAGCAGAAATATCAATATAACAAATGTCTTAAAATGAACAAACTTGCATAGAATGGAAATCTTCCTAAACGGATCTTTTTCTGTCCCGATCGATTCCGGCTTGGAAATTTTATTGGGAATTTTCAATAAGAAAACATCAGAAAAGCCAATCCGGTGGCCGAGATCGCTAAGGCAGAAGTGCCGTAGCGATCCTGGTCCGAAGGATCGCGGGTTCGAGTCCCACCTCGGGCATGGTTGTATTGTGTTCGTCCTTTCACCCCTATCATCATTGTATTCTGTCATCCACACAGTTGCCATACCGTTACAAGCAATAGTGGTCGCTAATGACTTTAGAAGTTGGTGCGACCGTAAGTAACAGAAAAAATTAGAAAAGAAAAACAGATCGATCACAAAAATCGGGTAATACATCTACGTTTAAAACATCGATGTTTCTACAAAAAAAATGTGTAGTGGTGTGGGCCCCTGCGGCTCTCCAGCGGCGAGGGGAGGAGTACTCGAGTTTCGCGGTGGCGGCGGCGGCGCCGGTCGGGCGTTATTTCCGTCGCGCGCTCGACCTCGCGCTAAAGATGGAGCTGGCGGCGCGCGTGACGTCACACGGCACGCGTGTGCTGCGCGGCGCGGAGAGGAGCAGACAGGCGGTGGCGGCGCGACGGCGAAGTGAGGTCCACCGCCGCCGCTGCCTCGTGCTCTGAATAAAAATATCCCCCCCGGCGGCGACGGCGGCGAGCGCGTATTTTTATGCAAAAGCGAGCGCCCGGGCGCGCATCCGCACCCGCCGACGCGGCGCCGCCCGCCCGCCCTGCGCGAGCGCTGCCAGCCCCTCCGTGGCTTGGACTGCGCACTCACGTGCATTAATCACTTTATTAATCGCCTATGTTTGCTGGGTGGGCGTCACGTGTGAACTGCTGCATTTCGAGTCGTGTAATTCATGGCCTTATGATGATACAGATGATACATGCAGATGATGTATGTCCCAACTTTTTGTTTAAATATGCATTTTATATTTTGTAATATTCATTTATATTCTTTATTTGTTATGTTATTGTATGTTAAAATCCCCACTATCTCTCATTACACGTAAAGGTATTCGTGTCTTTAAGGACGAGAGAAGAGACTTAAGGAGAGGAAAAAAATCGTAGATTCCAGTCTGAAAAATAATAAAAAAGTAACACTTAATTTCGTCTTGTTCAATACCATAGCGGTACTTTCGGTGTAGGGAGAGTGTGTTACTCACGTGAGGAAGTATGGTAGAGGTCGGTTAGAGGTTGGCGGGGTCGCATACGCCGGTGCCCGGCGCCCCGCCCCTCCTTCTCATCCTCCTTGGCGTCTCGTGCCTTGTTCCCGTGCTTTTTTCTCGTCCCCCGGACCTGTTACATCTGCCCCGTCAGCCAATCTTAGCCCCCCAACCTCGTCACTCGTCCGGTCGTTCACCTCGGCTGGGAGCTCCAAGGAGACGGCGTGAAAGAATGCACAGCACAGGGTTGGCGATTGTGACTCCTTTATTGAACACTGTCTGCTAATATATACATAAAGAAAGAAACAACACGTGCACGCTGCTCGCGAGGGGCGCAAGACGAAGGGAACGGGGCGCGGGGCGCGGGGCCCGGCCCGCGGGCGGAGGGGGTCCGCGGCCGTCAGACAAACAAGGAACCGGCCTGAACGGGGCGGGCGCAGCCCGCGCGTTGGGGGCCGCGGAGCCCCCCCGCCGCGCCGGGCCCCCGGCCCGCCCGTCGGTCAGAGTCTCTCCTCCTCCTCCTCCTCCAGATCATACAATCATATTTGTAATAATATTTTATTTACACTTATATAAATAGAGCCTACGTTGGTGAGAGTCCACTTTCGCGCGCTCGGCGGTGTGGGCAGCGCGTGGTCCCGGCGCGGGCGCCGGCGGCGGTGGCGGTGGCGGCGGCGCCGTCTAGAACAGGAAGGTCTTGATCTCGTCGTAGAGCACCAGGACGAGCGCGCCGCCGGTGCCTCGCAGGATGTTGGAGAAAGCGCCCTTGAAGAAAGCGGCGCCGCCCTCTGTTCGGTAGATGACTCCCCAGCAGTGCAGAGTGTTCTTGTAGATGATTTCGGACGCCTTGCGGCCCGACTGCATCATCATGCGCCGACGCACCGTGTCGAACGGGTAGGACACGATGCCGGACACGGTGGTCACGACCTGCAACAGGGAGGGCGGACGAGTGAGGGCGTGGTTCGTTCACGGGGGAAAAGAAGCACAATGTGGGATCACACATGTGGATTGTTTTTATTCATGACCGAATCATTAAATTATTGGATAAGTTTACATATTTACATTTACGCAATTGTCGTTAGAAAATGAAAACAACTTCCTAATTTTTTTCTTTTTGCAAAAATTAATGTTTTAACCCGTTAACTCTTGAACCATTTCTAAAGTTTGCTTCATTTTAGACAAAGTGAAGAATTCATACTGACATGATCACACCACTATAATTTTCTTTAGATTAATGGATGTGAGAGATTTTAAGGGAATACTTTGGCATTATTTTTCTTGTTTAGGAACTATATGCAAAACATTATTTATTGTCATTTTTTATCGAATTAAACAAGTAATATAAAACAATTTTCTATCAATATGACCACATCGGCACATTGGGCAACTGCAATGTACATGACTTATGTTTTTGAGAACTCTCATTTAATTTTCTTCATTAAAAACAGTCATTTTCAACTCATCATTTCTCTTATTTTACGGTTTTGTGAAGATCGTGATTTAGCACCTTAATTCCTAATGTTACTGAGACTTCATAAAACAAACTTGTTTTTCAGAACGGGTCTAATTCATTGAGTGATCAGATAATGTTTAGACATCGACATAAAGAATTTTACATTTTTCCTCTTCTTTCCTTTGAATTAAGATATTCTCTTTAAGTCATTGAGGTCAACCATGAGTTAAGAATTTGTTATTGTGTTATATGTATATTCGTAATTTGTATTGCATTCTTACTTCTTGACATGATAGTAGCGTTTCTTTACATCGCCAGAGAAATAGGAAATTACAGAAATAATATCAGAAAATGTTCTTTCTAAACAATGCTATAATTCCAAGCAGGAGGGAGAGTGTTGGAATGTCCTGTAGCAAAGGAATCATACTATGAACGGGGGCAGATGAAAACCTAATTCTTGAAAGAAGGACAATATTATATCAAAATGCTGGTCAGGATTTTTATTATTTTTTTTTACATAAAGGATAGGTTTTAATCCGTGGATTGAATTTTCATTAGCAAATACAGACATTGCTCAAAACTACAAATTGTTTCACTTATGACGCGTAAAAGCCAGTCTTCTACCCATTAAGGTAAATGCATAGGTGATCAAATAGTGGACTTTGAACAACGTCAACAGTTAATGAAGTCGGGTGGCATTTCACTAGGTCTATTCTACGCTGCGAGGCGTGGCGTGTAGAACGTACAGTTTTCTACCCCTTGGGATAAAACTGGACTGTGACTAACATCAACAGCGAATGAAGTCGCGGGCGTATTTCACTGGGTCTATTCTCCGCTGCGAGTCATGGCGCGTAGAAGTGAGCTTCCTACCCCTTGAGGTAAATGCATAGGTGATCACTTAGTGAACAGTGACCAACATCAAGAAAAATGAAGTCGCGGGCGTATTTGACTGGGCCTATTCTACACTGCGAGGCATGGCGCGTATAAGTGAGCTTTCTACCCCTTGAGGTAAATGCATAGGTGATCACTTAATGGACTGTGACCAACATCAACAACAAATAGTGTCTCGGGCGTATTTCACTGGGTCTATTCTACGCTGCGCGGCGTGGCGCGTGGCGTGGCGCGGCGCGTGGCGTGGCGAGGCGCGCGCGAAGAAGACCTTACATAAGCGCACGCGGGTGCGACATGCGCCACTTGGCAAGGTGCCCGGCCGCGCGGGCAAGCACGCGCCCGTGCGTCAGCTGCTTCGGCTCGACGGCGGCGGTTACGTACGCGCGCCCGCGTGACGTAACGCACCCTTTCCGGTTGTGCCCTGGATCTGTCGAGGGCCGCTCGCCTCTACCCCGGCCCGGCCGCAGAAACGCTTCGCCCAAATGACGCCCAAATGACGCAGAAACGCTTCGTTTTTATATCGAATATTGCGGAATGAGGTTTCGAGTAACGGAATGACACATTTAAGTGTAAAAAAGGTAATAGATGGATATCTCGTTTTCAGCTTATTATTTTTATCTGTTAGAAATGACACTACTAATCAGAGCTAGTTTTTCTTTTATTTCCTATTTAATTTCAGTCATTCCAGCCTATAAAAAATTCTTAATACTGGTAAAAAAAAGTCATTATACTACTAACGGCCGTTTTGCATAGCGTTTTCATTATCCTTACTGACTTAAAACGTTCCTTTTCGTAGTAAGAGGTGTTAGAATATCAATTTTAGCTATATTTCTCTTTGGGCACAGATATTTGTAGAATTATTATTAATACGTACATTTTTTTTGCAATGCATTTATTATTAACACAACAAGAAGTAATTAATTTTTTTGTATGATTTATTGTAGTAAATTATATGACTTTCCAAAAAAAGTAAATAACGGTAGTTAAAAACCAAACTATTTTATCTATGATTCGGGGCTCATTGATTATATCTCTCTCTTCTGCAGAAATATACGAATTGAGTGGAAACAGGTGTTATGTAGGGTCTTTTTTTCGACGATGAGGCTTTGGGTCCAGTCTGGATGCCGCGGCTACACCGACTGCCCTCACTCCGCTTCTCCCGCGCGTGGGTTAGCTCAGAGCGCGTCTACGCAACGTGACCCGCGGGAGCGACCTACTTTCCGAGCCCTGATTCACGAAACAGCTGGCACGGGGCGGAGTCCTGGCGGATTTGGACAGAAGATAAAGTCGCGTTCCGTCGTGTGGGAACTGCGAATTTTTGTTTTGTCCTTCAGCAAAAGAGAGTTAATGGGGTTTAAAAGATTTTTAATGAGAAATATTGATTTGAAATATTTTTTTCTTCCTGTTGTATCGATTGGTTTGGAAGCTTATAACTCTGTCTGAGACACACGTATCCACAGATGTTTGCTTTATTATTTTACTCCGAAGGAATGTATTATTTGTGATGTAATGGTTCAAATCAGATCACGTGAAGGGGTATTTGTAAACGTTTTTGGATGATCACTGATATGACGTGAACATTATATATTTTCTTCCGCATGATTAACAAGTCTATATTCAGTATTGTGTAAAAACGAATTACAATATTTACGAGTCTGACATTTGCCCGTTTTAACAACTCTTAAAATGTCAAATTGCTTCGAAAATTAACCAAATGTATGGAAGCTTATCCTCGTTAGGAAACACGAATGAACATTGTCCGAAACCTAAAGTAATAACAATCACATATGATACATGATCAACTTCTACGTCTCATATTCTCCGTCATGAGTTGTGACATTACTAGACCTTGGAATGTCACCTAAGACAACCAGTTATGTAACTTGAAATGCGTTCATCACGTATGACGAAGGAATCGTGAAGAGATGCATCATTCTCAGTGTTCTGTGAAAGATAAGATGTACAAACACGCGGTCGAAAAACGCGAGCGCGCGGGTTCATTTCATTTTAAAAAGTGTTTCCATTCCATTGATTATTGAAACAAACATCACAAAATTTTTAGGTGTGCAAATCAGATGCACTTTCTTAGGGACCGCAGTCCACTGATAATCTGACTCAAATAAAAAACTGCATTGCAAAAAGAAAAGTTGTTAAAAATTACTGAATCTATACCACGTCTGAAGTTAATGAAGTATATGTTCGAGATGTTTCCATACTGCAATTGCCATTGCATCGTTAACTATTCCAATAAGCTCGAGAATTATTATTGGTTTTTAAACCTTCAGGTGAAACATAAATTCTCGGCTATCCGGGAGACGCCGTGTCATTGGCTGGAGTGCATTGGCACCCCAGCCAATGACGCGGCGTCTCCCGGATAGCCGAGAATTTATGGATTCGAGATGCGGAAGCTTACGTGTACTTCAGGTGGAACATTGATTTTGTTTAAAATATTTAATAAACTTTTTATTTATTGATTCTGCGCATACGCAAATATTTGGTTGCCGTTTCAGAAGTCTCATTTTCCTCTCACTTTCTCGTGAATCGCGAGAAGCAAGCTGGAAAACGCGTGCGCCGTTCGCGGAGGCCGGCTAAAGGAGGAGGTCCTCTGATCGCGCCTGCGCAGTGCACTTTGCGCTCGCCGAGCAGCTTCATTGAGCGGCCGCGTGCGACTCCGTGACCTCGGAGAAATGTGCTCGCTTCTCCCCTCCCCCTTGTCCTCCACCGGAGCCCCCGCGTGACACGGTCACTGGAAGTGCAGCGCAGCGAACCGCCTCGGGGACGGGGTTCAGCAGCGGGGGGGGCGGGCGGGGCGGGTGGGGAGGGGCCGGTGGGCGGGGCGGGGCGGGGCGGGAAGGGGGAGGTTCCAGCGGCCACGCGACGCTGGGCCGGAGCGGCGCGGCGTGGTGCGTGCGGTGCGCGGCGGAGAGGGACGAGGCGTGGCGTGGGGGGTGGAGGCGGGCGGGGCGGGCGAGGTTCACCAGCAGAGACGCGACGGAAAGCTGGGGAATGGGCGAGGTAGGGCGGGGGCGGGGGCGGGGCGGGGCGGGGCGGGGGCGGGGCGGGGCGGGGGCGGGGCGTGGGCGGGGCGGGGCGGGGTGAGGCGGAGACCCGCGAGAGAGAGTGGGGTTGAGCTCGGATGGCGGCGTCTGGGCATGACGCATCGTGCGCGCGGAGGCGGTCAGGGGCAACGCGACGATTGGGTAGATCGCGGAATAACGTCGGAAGTGGCCTTTGAAGGAACTACGGTAAACTTCCGTGTGTTTCTGATCTAAAGCGATCCATAGGTGGCAGAAACTGCTCCATTGTGAGCTCGTCGTAACGGTGAGCGATTTACAACCGACTCAAACTAAACTTGGTTTTGGTTGTTCTTGATGGTGTATTGCCATCTTAAAGGACATTTAAAGCGTGAAATTTATTCGGTTTTTTTACAGTTGGGGCAACATAAATTTTACAATACTAGAGTATTAGTATTATACGAGTATATTACAGTAGTTTCTATATCAGTATGCTACACAGTTCAATATTTATTTCCTTGAAAATTTATTTTATAATAAAATAAAATAACTGTTTAAGTGGATATATGTCGATATTAACAGTGAAATCCAAAAATGAAATGAAAGAAAATGTTTGTTTTTTAGAAATTGGCTGTTATATGTTTCAGCTTCCTTTGATGACAAAAAGAACAGGTAGAAAACACATGAAGTGAACACAATAGTGAATATAAAACATCACATGAATACAATACATAACATATTAGTGAGACACATTATATAAATGTACGTCTTAGTCTTATATAAATGTTTAAGAAAATAATTTATTCTTATACTATACTCATTCGAATACACTTTAGAATGCAACGAAAAAAATAAGTTTCAGTGGATTCGAGAATGTGGAGATATCGTTAGAAACAGCAAAAATGCGGAGAAAGCAGGTGAAAATTACTTTTTAAGGTCAGGTCATATAAAATTACTACAACTTTGATCATCTCTGTAAACGCAAGGAGGTGGGGTATGCGGAGTGTATCTGAAGTGTGTAGTTCTTTTAGCATTATAAAATTGGCTCCAATACCATGGTGAAGAATTGGGAGAAGCTTGGTAGCGGTTGGAGGGAGTAGTTTTTTGCAACCTACGCCTAAAGTGATTATTGAATGTCTAGCAGTTCAAAATATACGAGATATATTTATTCCTGACCTACTTTGAAACTGCCAGAAAAAAATAGTTCATAAAAAGGACGTCGAATTTAGTCATAATGTACAAAAATTATGTAAATAATACTATAATAAAAATAATATTTACTGTGATATATTTAATTCATAGATATTTTACAGGAAACAAATTATTTAGGAAGACAACGTTAGAAAATATGTCGATATTTTGCAAGATTTGGGTTAAAAGGGCAAGTGATGAAATGGAATTATTTATAAAATCTAGAATATATTAAGTAAGCAAAGAACGTTGATATCTGGCAGAACGCGACGGAACGGTGCCTCGGGATGAAATTAGAAAAGAAACAAACGAAAAGCAAAGAACAAACACTTGGCAACTTCAATTTGTTGTTTGACCAACTTTCGTAAATTTAAAATTTAATAATTTTCCACCGAACTGCATCATTTCTATAAATGTAATAAAATTAGTTAAAAATATAAAATATTATATAAAACTATTTTTATTTGCTATTATTATCATTATATTCATATAGAGTCAGTGCTAATTTTTATTACGCACTAACAGTATTTAAGTACTGTTACCAATTGTTATTAAGTATTATTTATAATTATTAAATTATATTATAAAAATAAGAGTATCTTTTAAATCATTAATTAATTTGAAGTGTGTTCACCATCCTAAAATTTTATAAATCAAGCACTGAAATTAAGTATAGATTTTTGTGTAAATGTCACGTTTATAAAGTAAATGGTTTGTGTTTACCAATATGAAAAGTCATGGATGACAACTATTCACTTCTTAGGATTCTTATGAATGATACTATTTATTCTTTCTATATAATAGTTGCGATTTTTTGTTATTTTTCTGAATACTTTCTCTTTTTTCAAAGAGAAAGTATATACTAGTTTCAGAAACTTTTGAAATTTCAGACACTGTCACAACCTAAAGAATATCTAATTTTGAAAGAAATTATCAAGCCACTCTGAAAATTCAATACCACATTCATAATACAAAAGCGAGGACAGTTAAAACCAACTTTAGGCCGCACAATGACTGTGAATTACGAGGGACGAGAAATGTCACCTGCGAGGAAATGATCATTTTGTGCCTGATAAAAGAGTTGCCAATTTTCCCCAGTGTCTTCTACTTTCTTTTGAAAAAGTTGGAACGAGACTATACAACTACTCAAAATAATGGGTTTGGTAGTTTAAAATAGAGAACCTTACTTTCCGGTCACTTAATATCCGGTCATTGGAATTTTGATTGTGTAACATTTGCACTATGTCATGTGCTCAACATTCCTCTCTGACAAGTAGATCTTTCGAAAACGTGACATCTGCCCAACGGAATTCAGAAATAGTTTAATGTGTGTGCTTCAAAACGAAACAGTGTGAATATATTTCCATTGATATTCACCAGGTAAGGTGCCTTTCCCTACCTGGGTCTAACTTATGACTAAAGATACATTTACCAGGTTGTTCTAATGAAACTATTATTTTAAAGAATTTGCATCTTAATAATCCCACATTATTTCCTATATATTTTGCTCACAGACTTCTGTATCTGTCAGTGTGCAGCTTCTGTGTTGACAGAAAACAGTGTGGCTTTCGCTCAAAATTGCTATTGAAGTGAATTTTCTCTCAACCTGTCTTCTTCGACATGAGAGTGGGAGATCTTACATGAAAATCACAGATCCTCAATGTGCGTGTTCGGACAAATATTTATCTGATTACGTGCGTACTTTCTCCCGTTAATAATCATCTCCAATTTTTACCTATTTTAGAACAACCCTCTGCATTCACAGTCAAATGGAGGGGGGAGGATAATTTTCGAATGAGAGATCGCCATAATTATGCAGCTGGCCGAAAACACTAGGAGGAAACTACGTTTTTGGGTCATTTTGAGCCTACTTTTAATTACTTTTTAAATTAAAATTTGCTTGTTTTACAAGTAAGTAAATAAATAAAACGCAATATGAAGATAATGAAATTACTTAAATTAATAAATACGATTTGTTTGATGCTGAACTATTTACAGGGTTGCTAGATGGTTCGGAGAGCCTCTTCCCAAAATGCGTTTTATCAATTTCCCAAACTGTTATCTTAAAAACGAGGGCAAACCAGGAATTTATCATATTAACGGAAAGAAAATGTTTTTTTAAGTAGGTCTACGGGGCCCTTTTCGATATTTTCGGGAGGGGGGTTTCTCTGCGCAACGCCTATGGAGATGGTGCCAGGTGTCGCATGCACTTGGAGATTTGTGAATTTAACTCACCTGTGCGATGGCCCACGAGACGAGGAAGGGCGTAGACTTGGGGTTGGGCAACATGCCACGTGCAGTGTCGTAGAAGCCGAAGTAGGCTGCACGGTAGATGATGATACCCTGCACGGATACACCGAATCCTCGGTACAGGCCGACGAGGCCATCAGATTTGAAGATTTTGCTAATGCAGTTACCCAAGCCTGTAAACTCACGTTCGGCACCCGCCTTGCCGACGTCAGCGGCCAACCTAAAGGAGAAAATGAAAATATTTAATTTGGATGCGTCTTAGGTTAGGTTTAATCACTCCAGTGCATTCAAAGTCAACCTCCCTAGTATAAAAGGCGTTTAGATTCATGAAGATGTTTCTTGCGATGCTCTGACAGCACTAACTGACATTCTAATAAGAAGAAGTAAGTGCAGAAAGATCAGATGATGACAGAAGAAATTACTCATATTTGCATGTGATTTATGCTTTTAAGACACACATTTTTAATTGAAGTACTTAACTCCAAAAATGTCTACACTCTTTAATAAACGCAATAAAAGTTTTATCCCATTAACACAGAATGAAACTAATTTAATTGTTTTCAAAATTATTCTATTTCTTTATTTTTTTCTGTTAACGTGAATTTTACACCGATATTGGTTTGGCAAAAGAAAATTTAGGCCGTCCCCTCAAGACTTTATTGTATTATTGAAAACTAATGAAGAATGTAATAATTAACTTGATTACATATTAGATAAGACAAGAGTCATTCAAATTAGTATTTGCACTTCTTAAATGTGTCATTTAATACGGGTTAATAATTATATCTTTTTATAGACATACATCTTGCAGTCATCTTTAGAATTTATCATGATTGTCTACACTGGATTTTAAAAATTGATGTTAATAAGTAATAGACTACCCCAAATTTATCTCCACAGTTCTCGATATTTTACAGTGGTTTGATCATTATAACAATGGATTACGTGGGGGCGAATAGTCGATCATATGTTGCTAACAGCTTGCCAACTTGCGCCTTCCCCTGACGTCGGATATGCAACCCGCTGTTCAGCTATGTTTTACGGCAGGTAAAACCTGCTTCCTGCTCCTGCGTCAACAAAGCTGTCTTTCAATGATGAAAATTAATTTCAGCCATGTATAAATGAACGTATTATTAACATTTATTTGAAAAGAATTTGAATGTTACGAAAGGCTATAACACATTTAGATAAAACTAGTGGTATAACTTACCACAGACTTTCTAGTATATTTTACAAAGTTTACGTAAAATCATATTAATTATATTGCTGATTACGTTCTGTAATTACGTTACTTATAACGTTTCAGCTTCTTTGTACACAAATTTCTTCATCAAACTACTTGAAACACAGCACACCATATCTCTTTTCTAGGAATAATATTCTCAAATTATTGTGAAAATAAACCGCCATGTAATTTGATATGCTGAAATGTTTCCCGTTTTTCTTTCCATTAAAAAAATGAAAATTACATAATTCATTCGTTTCGTATTTTAAGAATAATAATTCAAGTGTCTTTTCTTGAATTCCATTGTTCAAATATTCAGAGGTCATGGTTTCGACACGACACAACTTTGAGCCGAAATGAAGTCTTTAATTACACTCAATAGTAAACATGATCAAACCCATTTAGATGAATTATTTTTGAATTTACACACAGATGGGCATTCTTTGATATTTTTTATATTCAATCAAGATAACAATCTGCTAAGAAATTCCTACTTCACCGAATTTAATTTTTATATTCTTTAAAAATGTGTATCACATCTAAAATATGCAAAATTAATTATTCCTATACTATCATAAGCAAAATTCGGTTTGAATTTTTAATGGAATCGTGTTGTATGGTTTCTCTCACAAATTTAGGAAGTACCTATTAGCATTTGTTTCTCGCGAATGTTTCGTGTCAGATACCTCATTATTGAAAAATTCGTTATCATTTTGTTACAGGAGAATTAGATAGCGCTGTAAAAACCACAAACAAATTCCGTTTTTCTGTGATAACAACTGCAAACCTATTTGTTTAAGGAATACGAGCAACTGATAGATATGGACAGACGTATGATATGAAGACTACTACGAATAGTTCCGCACGTGTACCATATGAATACGTCTGCATCCTTTGATGGGCTTGAGAGATATGTAAAAAATATTTTTTATCATATATTGTTGATAAACAAGAAAAGCGACATCTCAAAAATCATTTTGCAGGGCATCGGAGCAAGAGATACTGAGCGGACTCGTTAATTTGCGGTCAGTCAAAATTTTACCTATATACCAGTTCCATGTGTTTTGTGAACTACATTAAATTTTCATTACTAAAATTATTTATTTCTAAATATATTATTTTTACTTCCGTGAAAAATTACTATTTTTTAGATGTCACTTTTCTTCAGCATGGACGATTACGTAGAATGAATTTTTGATAGACTGGATTCGCATCTTAAATCGGTGTGCATTCGGTACACAGACGTGTCGTTGACATTCCAACCCGTGACGCGGGGCTGGCGGTATGCAAGCCCAGCTGCGCGCGGGGAGCGCTGGTCCGCGGCTAGCTGCCGCTAAGCATGCCGGGCACGCGAGAGCAGCGGCCATGACACTCAATCAGGCGCATGAAGACAAATGCGCGTCAGGCAAGGCCCCCTCTGCCGACTCGGCGTGCACCCGGCCCGCTGTTTCCACGGTCTGCTCTCCTTTCGTCTCATTATAACTCCGTAGGATGGGCATGGCTAGAGATATGTGGTAGGTTGTCAGATGGTAAGATTTAGCAGTGATCGAGCAATGAGCGAAAGAACCTGTCTGGAGTAACGAATTAAAATGTATCAAAATCTGATATCTCCCCTATCTTATGTTATTGTGAGGGTGCATTCGTAGTTTTTTAAGAAAACATTACACCAAATTTATATTTTAATTTGTTTTTTAAAATTTTTTAAAGTTCTTTATTCAAGAGGCTCACATTTTTGCCATTATTCTGTTTCATTTTGTATTATCAGAATGCTATGTTTGTCTAGGAACACGCAGTGATTGCCGATATAAAAAGAAATGTCAATGCAAAATTATATTATCATTCTTTGGCGAAAGAAAATTCACTACGGAACATGGGGGTGGTTGGTGTCAATCAATGCCGCTCTCTTTCCTATTTTAATTTAATTGAAAATTAATCAAGTGAATGAATTCAATTGAAAGTGTTACCATCATACTGGAAGAGGATAGTACAGTGTTAGATGTTTAATACGCGCATGTATTTCAACAATTATAAAAATTATCATTTAATGAAATACATAACGCCATTCAACATTTTACTTAACATTATTCAAACTTCACGTACAGAAATAAGGAAGGACATATTTAACAACTCATAATAAATTCCAGCAATCAATATTTCTTGTTCTCAACCTTTTGAATTCGATTTACCTTACTGTTTTGTATGTGGCACTCATTTATTTCAAACTTCTTATTTTTAATTTTAAGTAGTATTAACTTTATACGTCACTTAACGGATAAGTACTTATTTGCTGGTGTAGTAGTTGCAAAACCTGCTTTGGATGAATGAATGGTGTTCAAACCAGATACCATTACCGAACATCATGCATAATCGATTGGCAACGCACCTAACACATACGTAACATCTCATTGTGGACTGAGTATCTGGCCGCAGCATTTGGAACGGTGTTCGATGAAGTAATATCGAAGCGGATGCCCTGTACTTGTTATGGTAATGATTGCCTAATTGTTCTCCGCGTGTTAGGTAGTAATGGACCGTTCTATTTAACGGTAATAAGATTGCTTTTACAGTTTGTAACAGTGCTACATTCGTTTTCTAAAACGTTACTTTTAACCAATGCAATGAATGCAGATCTAATTCCTATTTCGTTTTCATACGTAGCATTAGCCTTCATTCACATCAATAAATATAGTTTTGAATAATGAGATATGTTAAGAAATGTAATGGTAATCAAAAATCTTTTAGTCTAGACTTTAGGTTCAAATAAAATTACTTATTATATGCATTCGAACTATGAAGAATTAAACAAGTAGCTCTGTTATACAAAAAATCATGCAAGATTGTTCTATTAAAGAATTGGTAGAAAAAGAAAATTGGAAGAGAAGAACAGGAAGAAATTGGGATTACTTTAACAAGAAACTATGATGTAAAAGAGACTGGCTATATGTTTATCTAATATTTGCAAGATAACTACCACTTAGGTAAGGTGGAGAAAAGGGCGATCTTTAGTATATCTTTCATTCATGATTAGTTCAGTTTTCCAAGATAGTCCTGGTAATCGCAAGAGAGCAAGAGATACTTCTTACAAATACAAGTTACAAATACAATTTTAGAAATAGATGGAAAGTAACTTCAAAAGGACCAGTCGGAAAGGTATTTTGATGGGGTTAGTCGAAACGTAAAAATTCTTACTTACCGCGTTCTTGCGAAATCTAGAGGGTAGACGAAACACAGAGAGGTGGCACCTGCTGCTCCACCAGAGGCCAAGTTACCGGCGAAGTAGCGCCAGAATTGCTTGTTCTTGTCGACTCCGCCCAAGAAAACCTGCTTGTACTTGTCCTTGAAAGCGAAGTTCAGGGCTTGTGTGGGGAAATATCGGATGACATTGGCGAAATTACCACGCCAGAAAGCGAGGAAGCCCTGTTCTCTGGGGATGCGAACGAAGCAGTCGACAATACCTGGAAGAGGAACAAGACACTGTGGGTAAGCGAAAGCGTTCACTAGGATTCAAGGTTGTACAATATTGGAGAAAAAACTATGCGGGTGCGCACATCAGACTTGTTAAAACATTTGGAAGTCACACAATTGTTTACTATAATGCATCTTATGTAATTAAAACCGACTATAAAACACTGGCATGGTCGGAATTATTGAAGACCTAATGTCAGTATCTGCATATTCATGCATTAATCATTTCTTTTTCTAACATATGTTCAAGAAGCTAACTGAGCTGTCGAAACAACCCGTGCCTTTACCAGCCTGTGTTGTGTTTTAAGTGTTCGTCCAACCTGCGTTCTGCGTGTGTGTCAAACTATTACTTTTCCGTGCTTCAGTATTAATTAGTTGCGAAACAAACTCCAAACTCCTGCTCCGACTCTATGCATGTTATAGGAAACGACCGCAGGGCATTACATGATACTAATCCAGAGGCTATTTTCAATAAGGGTTCGAAGCCGTGGATTTTTAAGGGCGAAGAAATCCTTCGTAGGCCTTCCTTCGGAGGGGAAGTAAAGCCGGCTGTCCCATGTTAGTAGATTTACTTCCGTGCCCAAGAAATACCCGCTTTCTCCGCTACTGCTGAAAGGAGCGTAGCTAAAATTTGCGTGGTCAGACGGAAGAGCGGGCTTGATGGACCGAGTCTCGCCAAGTAAAATAAGGCATTAATTCAATTCAATTCAATATATACAGTTCTACTATCTCATCCTCAGCAGTTGTCATTTCAGGCAGTACCGCCAACCAACTTCCCAGTGCAGAGGAGTGCTGTAGCTCAGTTACCAGCAGTGACAACTTCGCAACGTAACTATCTTGTAACGTTAATTTCAGTTGACAAGTAACGTTAATTACCATAAAAGAAAACATCGATTCACCCCAGCGTTCAATACCACTTTCAACAGCTATCCTGGAAGACCCCATCAATATAGATGCATTATCTATATTGACCTAGTAGTAGTCGTCATCTATTGTCAACAGTAAATAGATTTACTTGAGAGAAATCAACAATTTTAAATGTTACCCCTTCTGATACTGTCTATTCAGACGCGGAGAAAATAAATGCGATTGCACAGAATCTACTGCGAAAATTTCCTTTTTATTTACCCCAAATACAATCATCAGTTTCTAATTCAATGATAATATTACCGAAAAAGTAATAACTCCTTCTCCCACCGTACCCTCAAAACTCATTAGTGTTTTGAAGTAATTTATTTCATTGTCAAAAACAGCTTTCGAAATAAAAAAGTGAAACCGAGAAATACTCAGGCTTCGGCTTAATATCGAACAAAAACAGCTCAGCTCTCCTACTATCCCAGAAATAACCGATATCTACAACGAATTCAACCGAATAGCCTATTTTCCTACTATCTGGAAGACGGGCAGCAGTCTGTTGTTCCACATACTCGGAAATGGCCCCCACAATCTGCCCAGCTTGTGGCCAATTAGTATACTTGCAACTTACCAAAACATTTTAAGAAATTTATTCACAACATGCTGACAACAAATTGTTAATTCCATCCCTTCTTACCAGAATGGATTTAGGCCCAAACTTTCAACATATCAACAATATTTTCGACTGAGCTCTAAGCAAGAGGTGTAGCTGCATGAGCAAAAGCGAGATGGTTCATTTCCTACTTACAAATCTGTAAAGGGCTTAACGTAGACCCCTTAGACTCATTCATACAAACATTATCATCCCGATTTAACTCAACAATTCGTGATCTAACTTGACTCTTGGAATTCAACCTTGGGAACCAACAAGTCTTTAAGTAATCCTCGCCGTATCCGTTCTCATTTTTCGAAAGATTTATTTATACAACTGGAATTCCATCTTTTAAACAACGTAACATTTTTTAAATATTTAATATTTTTTAAATCGCTAATTCAGTTATTTACACGCTTAACATAACAATACAACAACATTACAGAATTATCAAGTAGCCTTTCAATGTCTAATTCTAATTGTTATGTAATTTATGTAATTTACAAATTATTTAATAGACTATTACTAATAGTTTTAACACGTATGTACGATACGACAAAATTGCCGACCAAGTAGAAAATTTAAAAATATTAAAACATGGTGCTAATCCTTCAAACATTACGTGGGGAAGGGTATGATCAACCGATTCCCTCTTAATTGCTCAATAAAAATGATTTTGTTTTACTTTAGAACTCCTCTGATATACTATCTACACTGAAAAACATTTAGCTAGAAATTCTCAGAATACGTCAACTGTGGCGATACATTCTGTTAATTTTTTGAAACATAACTGCCAAAGAATTACTTGATAGTAATATTGTAAAATGTTAATTATATGTTTAAACTATTTCCAAATTTTATTTAAATGCTCTCGTAACCTGATAGATGGAATTATGTGCTGAAATATGTAGACTCTTGAAATATTTCTGCTGCGACTCATTTTGTATTTTCTACATTCTTCTGAGACTGAAAGTACATGCCGAAATCTGAAAACGTTATTGTTGTAAAGTTCAATAATATTGTCACATTTTATTTAAAACTACTTTGATATATGAATTACTGTAGTGTGGAGGATAAGAAAAATCGAATTTTATTGTATAAAATGGAATTACACGTGTTTCAAATTCTCTAGTGATTTTCATTGTTGAATGTAACGATAAAGCCCGTAATAAGTACTCCAGCGTTAGTATCTTCAACTGAAGTTCCCCCGAATATTCATGCCGGGATGTATAAATTTTACTAGTAAGAAACGAGATTTTGTGACCAAACTTGTAGGCAACAATATATTTTTTATCTTTGGCTATCCTAATCAAAGCGCCCGTTTTCCCTGGAATGAAGCTTTGCAATAAGTGCGCAGGTGTTATTCGAGAGTCGAACCCCCCTCTCCCTTGTAGGTTCTTTCATATATTCCCGCTGGGATGTATAAAATTTTGCTAAAAAATAACGAAACTTTATGAACAAAATTTTAGACACAAGGCATTTCTTATGTTTGCCTACCCTAATCAAAGCGTCTGTTTTCCCTGGGAAGAAGCTTTGCAATAACGGCGAGTGCGCAGGTGTAATTCGAGAGTCGAACCCCTCCCCCGTGAGTTCTTCCGAATATTCCCGCTGGAATGTATAAAATTTAGCTAGAAAATAACGAGATTTTATGACCAAAATTCCAGGCACAAGGCATTTCTTATCTTTGTCTATCCTAATTAAAGCGTCCGTTTTCCATGGAATGAAGCTTTGCAATACGTGCGCAGGTGTTATTCGAGAGTCGACCCCCTCCCCCGCCGCCGGGAGGAGCGAGGCGTCCGCCATTACGCGAGTCCAGGTTCGCCCTGGATCGATGACCCAGATCGGCGTCGCCCGGACGGAGCCTCGGTGGGGACGCCGGGTGCCTGGCGACGGCTCCGGTCGCCGCCTCGCGCCTCGCGGAAAGCTCCTGGGGACGCCTCGCGAACGCTGGGCTTCCGGTCGGAGGCCGCTTCCGGCGCGACCAGCCGCCATTGCTCCCCGCGCGCGCCCTGGGCGGCGCAGACATTCGGAGCTCATTACATACGCGCGTAGCTCTTCCTCGATTACGATTTGCCTCAGGAAATGTGTCTTTACGTATCTCCGGAAACGCTTGAGCATAGTAAGTGCGAAAGTTGTTTCAAGTGGTCTGGATACAGCGGATATTGCGGTAGCGGTGAAGATTACTGAACGATGACTCCAAGCCACAAAGAATTTCCACCCTATTAAAAAGCTACTGCGAGTTTTATAATCCTATGCAATGCGTATGTGTGTATAGTTTCGTCCGCTGATAACATCGAGGTTAAACGTAGTACTTTAAATGCAGTTTTGGGTGTGATCCAGGCGCTCGGCGGGTCCACTCGGCGACGGGAGCGGGTGCGGGCGCGGGGCGCGACCTGGATGTTCTGCCGGATCGAAGGGCCGGGGGCGAGGCGGGCCGGCGAAGGGCCGCGGCGCGGGAAGGGAGAAGGGCGCGCCGGGAGGCGATCGATGCCCGAGCACCCACCTTTGTATCTCTGATCTGCTGAGATCTGCTTGGAAATGTGCTGCACCTGCAGCAGCAGCTTCACCCGCTCGATGGGCGCGACCGCAGTCTTGGAGATGGCGGCGGAGATACCTCCGGCGGCGAAGTCCTTGGCGAAGGCAACTGGGTCGGTCAGAGACATGGCGGTCGGCGGTGGTGGTTGGCGGCGGTTAGCGGGGCGAAGGGTCTGCTGCTGCAGCGACTGCTACTGTGCGGCCTGCCGGTGGGGCGTCTGCGGCGGGACAGAGGCAGGGCGGAGGCGCGAGCGCGCGCAGCCGCCGCCGCCGCGCCCGTGGCGCCCCAAGCGGCGCCCGCCGGCGTCAGCCCTCCCACGCCTCCCGCCGCGCCGCCGTTCCATTCATTTCGTAACTCCGCTTTGGTCTCGCCCCGCTTCGCTTCGTCCCGTGACCCGCACGCACGCGCGGGCGGGGTCGTGCGTGCCTCGCTCACGCATCGCTCGGCGCCTCGGGGCCTGGCGCGTGGGGCGGGTCAGTGGCAGCTGCGGGTCAGCGCCGGGGGCGCCATGCAGCCTCGAACCCAAGGCCCTCTGGGCAACAGGTTTCAAGCTGACAACAGAGGAACTATCTTACGAGTATTTGCTACGAAGACTAGAACGAAGGTTTTCGGTCTAGGCTTCACGATGTGTCTAGTAGTTAGAAGTTGAGAACGATAAATTAGTAACCGAATTGAGCAAAAGGGAAGTAGCAGAAAATCAATGACGCTCAACCCTGAAGGCAGAACTGAAATTGACTAGGGCAACGAAGTTGACAGCAGAGAATTTACCTTATATTCTTCGGCAGTGATGTCCAACTTGAAAGGCCTCCAGGGCCACGATTAAAACTGTAATATGTTTGAGGGCCGTATTTTCATTACTCAAGCAATCCACACCTAACTTCCCCGTATTGTTAATCTCGGCAAATTACCCGGCTGCTCGAACACGGAGGTGGGGGTGGGGAGATGGAACCAAGGGCTTCAGTAAATCACATTAGGATGATTTCGAAATTCTGAATTTATTAGAAAAAAAATCCTTAAATATTAAGTTCTCCTATTTTTCACTGAGGGCGTTGACGTCGTCAGGGCGCGTCCGCTAGGCAGGCAGTTGGTGTACGACAAGGACGCAAGACAGTTTCACTTTTGACTAATAACCTTTCGCGGGCCACAATAACTGGCACCGCGGGCCGCCAGTTGGACAACCCTTCTACGGCGACTGGAAGCCAAGGCCGTCTGTCGAGTCAACAGGTTTCATGGTATGTTCAGTGATGAGAAGTCGATGAAGTTAAATGAATAAACGAATTGAACAGAAGGAAAGTAGCAGAAAATCATTAATGGAGTAATTGTTTAACAGTGAGGGAAGAAATAAAATTGACTACGCCAATGAGGCTGACAGCAGAGAAATCTATTTTATATTCAAAGATCCACGAGAACCCAAAGCCCTTTGTTTATAATGTATCTCGTGGTTAGTGGTTGGAAACGGTAACTACGTTAACGAATAAAGTAAATGGTAAAAATCAAGAAATCGTTGGTGAACTACTAGTTTTTAAAGCCTGCTAGAGGTACTGAAATTGTCAGCTGAAATCAAATCTATGTGAGTTACAGGAGCACCCATCCACTAATTGTATCACTCACATATTTAAATATGAACATATTTAATTTCTAATTAGAAAAGCAATTAAAAATATAAGGTAAATCTTATTCAGCAGTCTCACGGAGTCTGGAGGAGCTCTCACGAATTAATTGTATCTCTCCTCTATAAGAGATGCTTACAACCCAAGTGGTGTAGCATCCTTTTTGATATTTTTTAAGTAAGCTGATAATCGTTTTCAGCAAGTGGCATTCTAGCATCATATTAACAGCACAAAGGAGAAGTTACTTAGCAATACTGTAGTTCATATGTAGTACAGTGTACTTAGAAGTTGCAACATTTGACCTGTAACTAGTTTGTATTCTCAATTTGTTGGGAATATTCAAATGACGCCAAAAGATTGATCAATACTCAATTCTTTTTTAAGCAACTACTTCTGAGAACATGCCATTTTGCAAGTTGTTCTACAACGGATGCCCAGTTTCTCTTGCTAATAAACCTCTGAGACAACTATGTACAAACCACGGCCCATTACAAAGGAAAAAAGATGCGGAAGACGTTTTGCCTTTTATCCTACCTGTTCATCACTTCTACTTTGTCTTCGTACTTCTCACAATGTTAACGTCATCGGGTTACTGAATTGAAATGACATTTGTTGTTCATGTTGACTGTTGAGTAACAAAAATTAAGTCACTTGGGAAATAGTCCAGAATTTTATTTCCAATTTGTTTGAGATTGGATATTTTCTTTTGTAGTTTCCAAAACGTTTCTATTAAATAACGAAATAAAATATCACCGAAAGTGTGTTAATTAACACACTTTCGGTGATATTTTCAATGTAATTTAGTATTTTTGTAAAAACAATAAGTAAATAATGTTGTTAACTGCCTTTAGTATTTTTACATCTTTTATCTGTTCATATTTCAACTCCATTATGGCCTTTATACCAAGTCTGTAACTTAACATAATCAGTACTGTCAATATAGCAAGTCTTTCTAAATACATATAAGTATTTTTTAAATAATTGAGAAAATATAATATATTGCTGAATTTTCTTCAACAATACTAATCAAGCATTAAATATCTCGGGACAAGAATCATGTGAATTACAGCCCTTGGGTTTGAAGAGGTTCATAAAAGAATATGTTTGTGTTGCAATTACGAGGGCGCATCATAAAGCACGGTAACAATAACTGTATTAAGAACAATTTATTTGACAGTCTCATTCGCTGAAACATATTAGGAAGTCACTACCCCTTAGTATTACTTCCCAACAATGTCATTCTGTTCGGCTAGGAATATATGGAGGTAATGTCTTCGTAGTCTCATGTGAACTGCATGCTGTCTATCACATGCGGGTTTGAATCATCCAATGCGTCTTTAATGTCTCGAAGAGATGGAAATCACTTGGTTTAACGAGAAAGAAGTAACATTCCTGCATCTCGGATATGATTTTAGGATTTGCATTATGTGATGCAAATTATGTCAGACAAAGCAAGCTACAATAGCGTTGAAATAAAAAATCATTCCCACCATCCAAAAAATTCAAAACTACTCCATTTGCGAAATAAGTTGTTGCAACTGTTTCTTGGGAGCACGTCCGTTAATTCCAAGAGATAGGCAGTGAAAGCCACCAGTTACGGTCACAAACTGGAGTGCATGCGAGACACGATTCCAATCAGCGACCTGAATGTCTCTCCACACGACAATGCCTATTCACATGCAGCTAACAACTCACGTAAATCTGATGCGGCGCTCGTACTGGGATGATCTCGATCTTCCTACCGTCAGCCTGGACTTCACAGCCTCTGACTTCCATTTAGGCCTTTGAATAAGCACTTGGGTCGTAGGTAGTTCTAAACCCATGTGGAAGTTCAGCGTGATCTCCGGATATGGAGTCACGGACTTGACACTGATTTTTTCAACAGATTCCTTTGCCAAACGGTAAAATCAAAGTGTTGATAAGGAAGGTGACAATTTTGAGAAGTAATAAGTAATGATTCTACGCGACCCCGGGATCGATTCATGGTCGAGCCAAGACTATAGTGTGCGTTTTCCTTGCAATGTTCCACTATATGTTGCTGTGTGACGATGAGAAAATTCTCTTCCCAGACGGGAATACGGCGTGGGGATGTCTACGTGCTAACCACACGTACCCCTTTAACCTATGGCCGCGAGGTAGGGACGTTGCCGATAGGCCTGCCGACTGGCTGTCGCGCCAAATACATACGTACAATGAACAATGATTATTAGTGTATTCATGACAATGATTAGTATAAAGAGACACAATATACGAAATAATTGTTTTTGTAAAAACTTGTTCCAATACTTTCGATCCACTGTTGTGTAACAGTGTGGTTAAATGATTTATTTAAAATAATTGAAATACTTTACCATTAGCATTATTATTGAGGAAACCCAATTAATAATGTTGAAGAGCACAAATAGTTTATGACACATCCTTGCTACAACCATGAAGTATCGCTTATGAAGGGGCAATAAAAACTGATTTGTGGTTATTCAACATTCAATTAGCAATTAACTGTGATATTATAACAATTTGTACTTAACTATTACTCGTTGGATTGTGAATTATACGCTTGTAAACAACATATTCAAGTACTATCCATAACTTAACGTTCAAGATTCTTAATTATTGTTCTTCGTGATCATTCAGACGATTTAAAATTTAAGATATTTAATTACAATACGTATTTGCAAAGCTTAACGATTATAGTGAGAAAGTATGAAGTAAATTATTGTATAATACGAATCATCTTTAAAATGCTTATAACGGTTTCGTACTAAACTTGCAATACATGATCGATATTATATCAGAAAAAGATAAACCGACACAGTATTTCCCGACCCACTTTGGAGCACGCAGAAGGCTACTGGCCTTGCAATGCAAATCGTGTCATACAGAGATGATGACTCGTAGGTTTCGGTTTGGGGAAGATATGATGCAAGAAGGACTGCGAAACTCTGTTAACTGAAAAAAATCTCAATGAAGTCGTTATTTCGTACATTAGATAAAGTGTTGTTTTCTCGCTCAATGTTAAGACCTGTTTTACTACACCGTCAATGAAGTTGCCGTAAATGCAAATTGGTATGTTAATGTCTTTTGCTAGTTTTGGACAATATCCTTGATTAGTCGTTTCCTGTGCGTTTCCTCGTTGGTGCACAAATTCGATTTCGAGATTCCAATGGTTCTTTATTCTTGTTTCCCTATTCTCTGTTGTTCTGAAAAGTTCCTCTCTGTTGACTGAGTCAATCTACACCTACTAGTATTCCTTTCGTATTTTGTTTCAAAATTCAATGACCTCGTGTGTTTGAATGAAGTTTCAACTATATCTTTTAATACCTTCCCTACCCTTTCGGAATTGACGCTAATCCTTAATATTTTGGTAGCGCACAACCTGATACAAACAATCTGATAGTATTGAAATTTTAATTTAAAGTGTAATGTCCTAGCAAAAAACAAAAACAAAAAAATAAATAAATAAAAAAAATATTTCACATCTTTTCTCGACCTTACTCCTTTTGCCGCTTCTTCATCTTTGTATCCTTCATGTTCTTCCTCGCCTCTTTTTCGCCCTCTTTTCACTTTCTTCTTCTTTTCTCTTTCTGCTTCTCTGACTTCTCATTCTTCTTTTTTCTCTAGTTCTTCTCTGTTTTATCCTTCCTATTTCTTGTCTTCTTCATGTAGTTATTTTCGTTCTT